CAAAAGAGGAGGATTGGCAACAGATGTTAGCTCAGGGCTAATCTTCCTCAAAGAAAAACAAAGAAAGAAAGAAAAGCAAGAGCAAACAAAGCCCAAAGTCAGCAGAAAGAGAGAAATAATAAAAATCAGAGCAGAAATAAATGCTGTTCAAAGAAAAAAGGCAGTAGAAAGGATCAATGAAACAAAGAGCTGGTTCTCTGCGAAGATAAATAAAATTGACAAACCCCTAGCCAGACTTGCAAAGAAAAACGAGAGAAAGCTCAAATAAACAAAATCAGAAATGAAAGAGGAGAAATAACAACAGACTCCACAGAAATAAACTGGATTATAAGAGAATACTATGAAAAACTATATGCCAACAGAATGGATAACCTAGAGGAAATGGATAAATTCTTAGACTCTTACAATCTCCCAAAGCTGAATCAAGAAGAAACAGATGATCTGAACAAAACAATCACAAGGAAAGAGATTGAAACAGCAATGAGAAGCATCCCAAAGAATAAAACTCCAGGAGCGTATGGCTTTCCTGGGGAATTCTACCAAAGTTTCAGAGAGGATTTAATACCCATCCTTTTCAAGGTATTCCAAAAAATTAGGGAAGATGGAACACTTCCTAACATTGTACGAGGCCAACTTCACTCTGATACCAAAGCCTGACAAGGACAGCACAAAAAAGGAGAACTACAGGCCAATATCGCTGATGAACATAGATGCAAAAATTCTCAACAAAATTTTGGCAACCCGAATTCAGCAATACATCAAAAGGATCATACATCATGATCAAGTGGGATTCATACCAGGGACTCAGGGATGGTTCAACATCTGCAAATCAATCAATGTGATACACCACATGAACAAATTGAGGAATATGGGGTCGGCCCAGTGGCGCAGCAATTAAGTGGGCACATTCTGCTTCTTGGTGACCTAGGGCTTGCCGTTTCAGATCCTGGGTGTGGACATGGCACCGCTTGGCAAAAGTCATGCTGTGGTAGGCATCCCACGTATAAAGTAGAGGAAGATGAGCATGGATGTTAGCTCAGGGCCAGTCTTCCTCAGCTAAAAGAGGAGGATTGGCAGTAGTGAGCTCAGGGCTAATCTTCCTCAAAAAAAAAAAAAAATTGAGGAATAAAAACCACATGATCATCTCAATAGATGCAGAGCAAGCATTTGACAAGATCCAACAGCCATTTATGATAAAAACTTAACAAAATGGGGATAGAAGGAAATTACCTCAACATGATAAAGGCCATATATGACAAACCCACAGGCAACATCATACTCAATGGGCAAAAACTGTGTACCATCCCCCTGAGAATAGTCATGAGACAAGGATGCCCTCTATCACCACTCTTATTCAACATAGTACTGGAGGTTTTGGCCAGAGCAATTAGGCAAGAGAAAGGAATAAAATGAATCCAAATAGGGAGTGAAGAAGTGAAACTCTTGTTGTTTGCAGATGACATAATCTTATACATAGAAAACACCAAAAAATCCATTGGAAAACTAATAGAAATAATTAACAACTACAGGAAAGTTGCAGGGTACAGAGCCAACTTACAAAAATCAGTTGCTTTTCTATACTCCAATAACAAACTTTCAGAAAGAGAACTCAAGAATATAATTCCATTTGCAATTGCAACTGACAAAATAAAGTACCTAGGAATAAATTTAATCAAGAAGGTGAAGGACTTATACAATGAAAACTATAAGACGTTGCTGAGAGAAATTGTTAATGACTTAAAGAAATGGAAAGAGATTCCTTGCTCATGGATTGGAAGAATAAACATAGTTAAAATGTCCATATTCCGAAAGCAATCTACAGATTCAATACAATCCCTATCAGAATCCCAATGATATTCTTCACAGAAATAGAGCAAAGAATACTAAAATTCATATAGGGCAATCAAAGACCCAAATTGCTAAGGCAATCCTGAGAAAAAAGAACAAAGCTGGAGGGATCACAATCCCTGACTTCAAAATGTACTACAAAGCCATAGTGACCAAAATGGCATGGTACTGGTACAAAACCAGGCACACAGATCAATGGAACAGAACTGAAAGCCCAGAAATAAAACCACACATCTTCGGACAGCTAATCTTCGACAAAGGTGCCAAGAATATACAATGGAGAAAAGATAGTCTCTTCAGTAAATGGTGTTGGGAAAACTGGACAGCCACATGCAAAAGAATGAAGGTAGACCACTACCTCACAAAAATAAACTCAAGGGGCCGGCCTGGTGGCGCAGCCGTTAAGTGTGCATGTTCCGCTTTGGCGGCCTGGGGTTTGTGGGTTTGGGTCCCGGGTGCGGACATGGCACCACTTGGCAAGCCATGCTGTGGTAGGCATCCCACATGTAAAAAGTAGAGGAAGATGGGCACGATTGTTAGCTCAGGGCCAGCCTTCCTGAGCAAAAAGAGGAGGATTAGCAGCAGTTAGCTCAGAGCTAATCTTCCTCAAAATAAATAAATAAACTCAAAATGGATCAAAATTTGAAGATATGTCCTGAAACTTTAAAACTCTTGGAAGATAATATTGGTAGTACACTCTTTGACATCAAACTAAAAAGGATCTTTTCAAATACCATGTCCTCTCAGACAAGGGAAACAAAAGAAAAAATAAACAAGTGGGAATTTCTTTTGCAAGGCAAAAGAAACTAGGATCAAAACAAAGAGACAACCCATCAATTGGGAGAAAATATTTGCAAATCATATATCTGACAAGGGGTTAATCTCCAATCTCCATAATATATAAGGAACTCACACAGCTGAACAATAAGAAAGCAAACAACCCAATCAAAAAGTGGGCAGAGGAGATGAACAGACATTTTTCCAAAGAAGATATACAGATGGCCAATAAACACATGAAAAGTTGTTCAACATCACTAATCATCAGGGAAATGCAAATCAAAACTACACTAAGATACCACCTTATGCCTGTTAAAATGGCTGTAATCATTAAGACTAAAAATAACAAACGTTGGACAGGGTGTGGAGAGAAGGGAACCCTCACACACTGCTGGTGAATGCAAACTGGTGCAACCTCTATGGAAACAGTATGGAGACTCCTCAAAAAACTAAAAATAGAACTACCATATGACTCAGCTATCCCACTACTGGGTATCTATCCAAACAATTTGAAATCAACAATCCAAAGTAACATATGCACCCCTACATTCATTGCAGCACTATTCACAATAGCCAAGATGTGGAAGTAACCCAAGTGCCCATCGACTGATTACTGGATAAAGAAGATATGGTATACATATACAATGGAATACTACTCAGCCATAAGAAAAGACAAATTCATCCCATTTGTAATAACATGGAAGGACCTAGAGGGAATTACACTAAGTGAAATAAGGCAGTCTGAGAAAGACAAATACCAGATGATTTCACTCATATGTGGAATATCAACAAATACTGGGACAAAGAAAACAGTTCAGTGGTTACCAGGGGAAGGGAGGTGTGGGGGGCACAGGGGGTGAAGGGGAGCACTTATGTGGTGACAGTCAAGAAATAATGTACAACTGAAATCTCACATTGATGTACACTATTATGACCTCAATAAAAAAATTTATTTCCATGCCTTAGCTCTAGCAGAGCTATAGTGGAAACTTTCAAATAAAAATTTTAGATATAATGTTTTATCTTCTGATGCAAACTTTTAAAGATATACCTAGAGTTAGACGATATTTTTACTGTGGAACCACAGGCGAAACACAAATCAGAATGTTCAAGAATTCTACACTCGGAGTCCACTGGGCACGACCGCCACAGCCCCGGGACTCTGGGCACTGCCTGCCCTCCCGCCTGCTCCCTCACAGGAGAGGAGGAAGGTCCCTCTCTGCATCCACACAGCTTGGCGCAGCACCTGGCTCACAGAGACATTCCATCAGTCCCCAATGATGAGAGTCATGACTGGAACCGAATGAGCTCTAAGAACAGAACCGTCTTAGTTCTCTGCAGGAACTAAGGTTCCCGCTCATCCAAGCCCAGCTACTCACTCAGTGGCTATTTCCTCTTCATGCTCTGCTCTTTCCACCTGGAACTACCCCTGGAACATGCCTGTGCTCATGGGAGCCTGGGTAGGTTGGCTAATTTTATTTCCCTGAGAGCTTCAGCCTGCTTCAATCTAGTTTAGGCCTTTCGACTCTGGTATTTTCTAAACGAGTTCTAGCAAAGGTGAGCAAAATTAGAGGACAGGATGGGTGTGAGATTTCTCTGCTTTATCTTCAACAGATTATAAGAATTTTTTTTTTACTTATCTCTGGGTTGTTTCATCATCTTGATATGCATCCTTTTAAATGTTAAAGAAATATCGTGGAATACTGGATGGTAAACACATAAACACAAGAAGGATTGGGTGTGTAGTATTAATGCCCTTCCAAATATCACAGCGCAGCTAATACCACCCCAAGCAGACAGCACACACTGGCCGAGGATGAGCGACAGACTCTGATGTCACTTATTACTAACCTTCTCGGGAGAGAAAGTTTGTTTCTACACTTTATATATTGATTTTTAAGAACGTAGCAACAAGCAGAGAAACACAAAGACACCTGTAGAGATACACTGCCTCCCATAATGAAACAAGTGTAATCCTGCGAATTTTAAAAGAAACGACTAACACTCATTTGTGTGGTCTTTGTATCGTTCTATATAATGCAGATAGTGAACTGCTTTGTTCTTTGCTTGAAAGAAGGGAAATATTTTTCTTAAATTTATTGTTGGAGTTCACAATTTCTCAGAAATTTCAAAAAATAGCTTTCATAAAATATTTTGTTATGGAAAATTTCAAACACAAAAATTTCATTATATACTTCTAAAAGCTAAGGATTTACTAAAAGAAATCACAAGCCCCGTATCACTATCACACCTGAGAAAATTAGGAATAATTCCTTAGTATCTTTCAACACTCTGTCAGTTTTCAAACTTTCCCAGTTGTCTCATAATCTTGTCACAATCACAAATCTGATAAAAATGATGCAAAAGAATACAGGCACTTCTAAACAGCTTTTTATGGGATAAGTGACCTTTGACAGTGAACCTCAGGGGAGAGTTCTTTTTTTTTGTGTGTGGTTCTGATGGTGACTAGCACATGGCTTATTGATCTTTTACTGTCAACACAGGAAAAATGTACCTACTTTTCTGAAAGCATCCATGTGTTCAGTGGCTTTCCCAATGGCAAAACCTGTAAGAGAAAAAGCAAAAATATGACAAGGCACATGAATTTGGCACATAATGTCTTTCACATTTTAAGTTTGAGCTTCTACAATATTTCATCGCACTTCATTTTTCTTCTGCCCACAGAAAAGCTGCTGTGCAAAACGAATGACAGAGCAGGAGGCTACGGAGGTCTGCTTCTCTGTGTTGGGGCATTTGGGAAACATTACATTTGGAAGCATCTGTGAAATCCAAGGTTAGATTACCTTTATAAATCTCTAGATAAAATTAAGTATGCTCAATAAAAAAAAACTAACCATGCTCTAAATTAATAAAGTAGATGGTTTTGAACATTTTGGAAAATAGATTAAAATAACCAGGAAGGTTGGGAAAAAACATACACTGTTATAGAGTAAAACCACAGTTTCACTGGAACTTTCAAATGCAATTCAGACTTCAATTAACTAGGAAATAAAATCAACGATTCCTGTTTGTGAATGCCCAACCCCGTGAAATGAGGTTTTATCACAAGTTAACAGAAATGCTTCCATTACTTGCTGTCATCATTAATTATTTATTTTGAAGGATGTATTTTTATGTTTAAATTATACACAGGAAAGTAACATAAGAGGATACTGCTCCATGAGTTACGCAAGACACCTGAGAACCTGGGACAAAAAGGGCTCAGGATTCCAGTTCTCAGTTGAAACAAAACATTAAACCATGTAAGTCCTGAAGGAAAATATGGGTGAACATATTTATAAGCTTCAAATGAAGGCTTTCTAAGCAAAACACTAACCCAGAAGTGATAAAAAGAGTGATAAACTCGCTATATAGAGGGTTAAAACTTCTGTGAATTTAAAAATGTGTAGAAAAAAATTTAAAACTAAGTCAAATATGACACACAAAGGGTGAACGTCCTTAACTTACAAAGAGTTTATACCATCAATAAGGAAGAACAATAGCCCAATAGAAACATTGGTAAAACATGAACTAACAGATCTCAAAAAGGAAATAATAACAGCCAATAGATGTATGAAATTGTGTCCAAACACATAATTAAATGAATGCAAATCAGAACTAAGAGATATGTTTCCCATATCATATTGACAATCATTAACATTTGATTGTGTCCTGGGCCCCAAGGAAGTGGTGGTATGGATGAAGATAAACTGATGCAACATTTGGGAGGGCAATCTGCCAATACTCATCAACATTTAAAATGCACAGAACTTTGAGGCAGCAATTTCAGCAACAAATTTCCCCTATTGATATACTTGCAAAAGTACAACAAATTAGATATACAAGAAGCTCACTATTTTTTATAAATGGTAAAAAATTGGAAACAATGCAAATATTCAGCAATAAGGAAAAAGTTACAAAAATTATGTTTATTCACACAATGGAGTATTATGCAGTTAGTGCAAAGAATGAGGGGGAAATCTCTTATACTGGTAAGGAAGATCTCGGTATAATACTAAGCACAAAAAGCAAGGGGCTAAATTATGGATATGACAGGATTCCTTTGTGTCAATTTTTAAAAGATATATGGTGATATATGAATACAGAAATCTAGAAAGATACAAAAGCAACTTCAGATTGGTATCCTTTGGCAAATACTGTCTAGACCTAGTACTTGTTTTGAAAGTGCCAATATGGGTTAAGTGGACAATTTTCCAGTTTTCTTTCCCTTAACTATTCATGTATACATTCAAAAAACAGACGTTCACTGCGGAAACTTTACAGAAAATTATACAGAAGATTTAAATGATTGACAACCCTACTAATCAGAGTAAACATTATTACCCTTTTTATGGCATATCTTCCAGTCTTTTCTTTGAATATAACATACTTTTAAAAAAAAACAAAGTTTGGGTTTGTATTATATTGTCTTAAATTCTTTTTAAATTTAGTATTATTTTGTAAGTGATTTTCCATAATTCTTTAATGGCTATGGAACATTACAATCTGTGGCTACACCAATAATATCACTGGTAAAGGCAAATATACAGTAAAGTCAGAAGATCAACAACCTATGAAGCTAATAGGAAGGTCAAAAGACAACAGTACTAAAATTATCTATTTCCATGATAAGAGGGTAATGGATACACATGCACAAAAAAGAGGTTAAATGTGATATCAAAAACATAAAATGTGGGAGGAGGGGAGTAAAAGAGTAGAGTTTTTAGTAAGGAGCCAAACTTAAGAGATCATAAACATAATATAGGTTGCTATATTCCTAGGTTACTATATATAAATCTCATGGTAATCACAAACTAGAAACCTATGATAAATATACAAAACACTTAAGAGAAAGGAACCCAAACATAGTACTAAAGAGAGCCATCAAACCACAAAAGAAGAGAGCAAGAGAAGAACAGAAAAGAGAAGAGCTACTAAAACACCCAGAAAAAAAGTAACACAATGGTAATAAGTACGTCCTTTTCCATAGCTACTTTAAATGTCAATGGACTAAATACTCCGATCAGAAGACATAGAGTGGCTGACTGGATAAAAGACTGACACATGTATACGCTGCATACAAGAGACACACTTCAGACCTAAAGACACTCACAAACTGAAAGTGAAGGGATGGAAAGATATACTCCATGCAAATGGCAATGAAGAGAAAGCTAGGGTAGCAATACTGATATCAGACAAAATAGACTTTAAAACAAAAACTGCAACAAGAGACAGAGAAGGGCATTACATAATGAATAAGGAGACAATCCAACAGGAAGATATAACACTTGTAAATATCTGTGCACCCAACAAAGGAGCGCCTAAATATACAAAGCAATTATTAGCAGACATAAAACATGAAACAGAAGTAGCACAACAATAGTAGTGGACTTTACCATTCTACTTACACCAATGGATAGATCATCGAAACGCAAGATCAACAAGGAAATATTAGCCTTAAATGACACATTAGACCAGAGGGACTTAGTGGATATATGCAGAACATTCCATCCAAAAACCACAGAATACACATTATTTTTAAATGCACATGGAACAGTCTCCAGGATTGATCACATATTAGGCCACAAAACAAGTCTTAATAAATTTAAGAAGATTGAAATAATACCAAGCATATTTTCTGACCACAACAGTATGAAACTAGAAATCAACCACAGGAAGAAAATCAGAAAAGCCACAAATATGTAGAGATCAATCAAAACGTTACTGAACAATGATTGGGCCAACAAAGATATCAAAGGAGAAATCAAAAAATACCTGGAGACAAATGAAAGTGGAAAATATAACATGCCAAAATTTATGGGATACAGCAAAAGTGGTTCTAAGAGGGAAGTTTATAGGAATGTAGGCCTACCTCAACAAACAGAAAAATCTCAAATAAAAAATCTAAAAATTCACCTAAAGGAGCTAGAAAAAGAACAAAGCTCAAAATCAGTAGAAGGAAGGAAATAATAAAAATCAAAGCAGAAATAAATGAAATAGAGACTAAAAAAAACGAGAAAAAATCAATGAAAAAAGAGCTGGTTCTTAGAAAAGACAAAATTGATGTTTCCTAAAGCAGCGCTGTTGCAGTCCCACCTCCAAGGCCCTCTCTGAGGTTCATCCACCAGCAAACGCACATTCATACTTGTGACGTCATGGTGCTGTGCACACTCACGTAAAGATGGTCCCCCTCTGAGCAGCGCTCTGGTCTCTGTTCCACAGCATCTTCCTCCTGCACAGCTGCGCACCTGCGCCCCAGCATCCTCTACATCCTCAGATGGTCCAGTCGAGAACCTGGCTTCTGGGCTCGGGTGGGTCACACTTGGCCCCTCCTCCTGCTGTGCCCCAGATGTCCAGCCCCTTCTGTGAAGTGTGGGTGCCTCCACTGACGTTTCCATGGGAACACCTGCTGCACACGTGGGAGGGTAAATGGGCTCACACTGCACACGCCCTTCAGTGTAGCGGATTGGAACATCTTTCCATGTTCCTGTAGGTTCACACTGCAGTTTCCACAGGGCAGATCCCAGAATCCCTGCGAGGCAGGGGCGATGACAGCCCTCCAGCTTGGCTTGAGGCCCCTGGTTCTGTGGCCACCGCCTGGAAAGCAGTGTGGCGCCTGAGAGGGAACCAGTCTCCCCTCCTGGGCAGGGACGAGCCGTGGCTGCCTTGCTCCTCCCACTAGCCAGGCCTGACCCAGGGCTGCCGGCCCCTCAGCCCTGCTGGTCACCTCTGCCAGCGCCATTGCTCCAGCCTTCCCTCTGCTCTGCTGTCTTCGCTCTGCCTTGTCTGTGCAACCAGGGCCCAGGAGGGTCTAGAATGGAGTACAGAATTGTTTGAGAATTAAACCTTTGATAATAATGTTGCATGTAAATTTGTACATGTTTCACATTCTAGATGTAAAGTTTAAAAGAATTTGGCCTCGTAGACTAAAAGTTTTGATTAGTTTAAAATGTGTCAATTGAGGTTTGTCGTTTTAAGCTAAAGCATTCTAAATTTATCAGCAGTATTACAATATTTCAGAGAACTTAAACACACAGTATTTCAAAATTTAATTTATTACTTCTATGAGTAATTTAAATACTCAGAAAGGTTTATATAAATCAAATAATTGGAATTCTTAAAAGGAAAAAGAAATTATTGCATTTGTAAGTACAACTTTAAAGGCTTAAGGGAATTTAATTATCAAGAAATAAGGGCACCCTTCCATGTACATGGATTGGAAGAATAAACATAATTAAAATGTCCATTCTACCTAAAGCAATCTACAGATTCAACACTATCCCAATCAGAATCCCAATGACGTTCTTTACAGAATTAGAACAAAGAATCTTAAAATTCATATGGGGCAACAAAAGACCCCGAATTGCTAAAGCAATCCTGAGAAAAAAGAACAAAACGGGAGGCATCACAATCCCTGACTTCAAAACATACCACAAAGCTACAGTAATCAAAACAGCATGGCACTGGTACAAAAACAGGTGCACAGATCAATGGAACAGAACTGAAAGCCCAGAAATAAAACCACACATCTATGGAGAGCTTATCTTTGACAAAGGAGCTGAGGGCATACAATGGAGAAAAGAAAGTCTTCTCAACAAATGGTGCTGGGAAAACTGGAATGCCATATGTAAAAGAATGAAAATTGACCATTCTTTCTCACCATTCACCAAAATAAACTCAAAATGGATCAAAGACCTAAAGGTGAGACCTGAAACCATAAGGCTTCTAGAAGAAAACGTAGGCTGTACACTCTTTGACATCAGTATTAAAAGGATGTTTTCAGACACCATGTCTTCTAGAGAAGGGAAACAATAGAAAGAATAAACAAATGGGACTTCAATAGACTAAAGAGCTTCTTCAAGGCAAATGAAAACAGGATTGAAACAAAAAAAACCCCACTAACTGGGAAAAAATATTTGCAAGTCATATATCTGACAAAGGCTTAATATCCGTAATATATAAAGAAGTCTCACAACTCAACAACAAAAAAATCAAACAACCTGATCAAAAAATGGGCTGGAGACATGAATGGACATTTCTCCAAAGAAGATATACTGATGGCCAACAGGCACATGAAAAGATGCTCATCATCGCTGATCATCAGGGAAATGCAAATCAAAACTACACTAAGATATCACCTTCCACTCATTAGAATGACAAAAATATCTAAAACTAATAGTAACAAATGTTGGAGAGGTTGTGGAGAAAAAGAAACCCTCATACACTGCTTGGTGGGAATGCAAACTGGTGCAGCCACTATGGAAAACAGTATGGAGATTCCTCAAAAAATTAAAAACAGAACTACCATAAGACCCAGCTATCCCACTACTGGGTATCTATCCAAAGAGCTTGAAGTCAGCAATTCCAGAAGTCCTATGCATCTCAATGTTCATTGCAGCATTATTTACAATAGCCAAGACGTGGAAGCAACCTAAGTGCCCATCAACAGATGATTGGATAAAGAAGATGTGGTATATACATACAATAGACTACTACTCAGCTGTAAAACAGAACAAAATCATCCCATTTGCAACAACATGGATGGACCTTGAGGGAATTATGTTAAGTGAAATAAGCCAGTTAGAGAAAGATAATCTCCGTATGACTCCACTCATATGAGGAATTTAAAAATGTGGACAAAGAGAACAGATTAGTGGCTACCGGGGGGGCGGGGGGGGGAAGGTGGGGTGGGGGGTGGGCACAAAGGGTGAAGGGGTGCACCTACAACACGACTGACAAATATTAATGTACAATTGAAATTTCACAAGATTGTAACCTATCATTAACTCAATTAAAAAAATTTTAAACTTTTGCTCCTCAAAATGAAATGAAATCAAAAGGCAAAGCACAAACTGGGAGAAAATATTTGCAAAACATATATCCAGCAAAAGACTTGCATCCTATCCTATAAAGAAGCTCTACAATTCAATTAAAAGAAGACAAATGACCCAATAAAAAATGGGCAAAAGATTTCAACAAACACTTCACCAAAGAATCTATCTTGGCAAATGAGCACAAGAAAAGATACTTAACATCATTAAGCATTAGAAATGCAAATTAAAACCACAATCAGACAGCACTCTATACCCGCTAGAAGGGCTAAGTTTTGAAACGACGGACTATACCAAGCGAGGGTGCTATGTGGAGCATCTGGAGCTGTCACATCTGCTGGGGAATGTAAAGTGGTAAAAACACTTTGGAAAAAGGTTAGCAGTTCCTTAAAAAGTTAGACATGCACCTACTGTACCACCCAGCTATGCCACTCTAGATATTTACCCAAGAGAAACAAAAACAGGTCCACACAAAGACTTATATACAAACATTTGTAGCAGTTTTAGTTGCCATAGACAAAACATGGAAACAACCCCATGTCTAATAACAGGTAAATGGGTAATCAGAGTGTGGTATGTTCTTACAGTGGATACTTCCCAGCAATCAAAAGGAACAACTATTGATACATGTAGCAATATGGATAAATCTCAAAATAATTATGCAGAGTGAAAGAAGTCAGACCAACCTCCAAAATAATATCTACTCTAAGATTCCATTTACATAAGATTATAGAAAGTGTAGACTATGCAACAGTGACAGAAAGCAGATCAGTTATCAGTGATGGGGGGGATGATTTTAGAGCTGATGAATATGTTCATTGTCTTGATTGTCGTGCTGGTTTCACAGGCACATATTTATGTCAAAATTTTCATCAAATCCTACACGTAAAATATGTGCTATTAGAAATACCATATGATCCAGCTCTCCCACTACTGGGTATTTATCCAAAGAACTTGAAATTAACAATACAAAGAGACGTATGCACCCCTATGTTCATTGAAGCATTATTCACGATAGCCAAGAAGTGGAAGCAACCCAAGTGCCCAACAAGTGATGAATGGATAAATAAGATGTGGTGTATATATATATATATATATATATATATATATATATATATATACATACTATGGAATACTACTCAGCCATAAAAAAGACAAAATTGTCCCATTTGCAATGACACGGATGGAGCTTGAGAGTATTATGTTAAGCGAAATAAGCCAGACAGAGAAAGACAAACACCATATGATTTCACTCATTTGTGGAAGACAAACAAACACATGGACAAAGAGAACAGTTTAGTGGTTACCAGAGGGGAAGAAGGTTGGTGGTTGGGCACAAGAGATGAAGGGGCACCTCTATATGGCGATTAACAAATAATAATGTACAACTGAAATTTCACAAGGTTATAAACTACTAGGACCAAAATTTTAAAAATGTGCAGTTTATACTTCAATAAAGCCATTAAAAAGACATAGCACTCAAATATTTTTAATAATCAATATAGTATCAGCCATATAGTGTACTTCTCCCTAAGATATTTCCACTTCTGTTCTCTGATCATGGTGTTTCCAAATATCCTCAGTTGTGCACATTAATTAGGTTGAGGATGAATTGAATAATGATAGTTAATGAAATCAGATTAAAAGGACGTAAATTTAAAAACAAAGAAATAAAGTCACCTTTAAAATGATTGCTAAATATGTAAGATAAAATATGTAAAATTTAAAAATGTGTTGGCTGAAATTAATGCTTCAGTAACACTAGGTGTTGAGTTTGTGAGTCTGGTGGGTTGGGTGTTAAACTGTAAAGTGGAGGAAGCTCTGCCTGACGGGTCCTGCACCAACCCTCCCTCAGGGACGATGACAGGGGCCATGGAGGAGGCCTCCTGGGGGGCTGGAGAGGGACCACAGTGACCCCAAAGCCCAAGCCCTGTGGGCAGAGAAACGGACTAAAAACAATGAAAAGAAGAAGGAGCCGTGATCAAAACAGGGGAAGTTTGGTCCAAGTAAGACCTGATTTCTCTCTAGGAGCCGCAGTTTTTATATATTGCTCTAAATTTCCATTATCTAGGCAGTAATTTCAAAATCCATCATGTATCCTATTATTTAATCAATCTGCTCTTCAGTTGTTTGTAAGGTTTGCTGGCCTAGACCAGGACAGGGGAGGACTTGGCTGTGAAGCTGTGAAGCCTCAGGTTCCAGGCCCTTCCATGGCCCAGGGAGGGGACCCTAGTATTGGGCTCAAGTAGCTAAGTTTTATGTAAATTTTGCAAACTGTGAGTGTATAAATAACAATTCTAAATTTGAATTACTGAGACCCAGAGGTGTGTTTTCTGGGTTGGGGCAGAATCCAGCACTGTGGTTAAGACCATGGACTCTGGAGCCCAGCAGAACAGGTGCAAATCCGGGCTTTCTGGCTGTGTGACTTCAGGCGAGTGACTCCATCTTTCTGTGCCCCCGTTTCCTGTCCTTACAGTGGGCGTTCCTGCAGACTTCCTGATAGAGCTGGTGTGGGCTCGTCTCCATCAG